TGATAAAATATTTGACACATCAGTAAAAGCTTAATAAGAGAATCATTACATATACTAATAAAAAGTAATATATATATATATATATAAATAAGAAGTTTACACAAATAGATAAATATCAATTAGATTATGAATTCATACTACATATAAAACAAATTCTAAAACTCTATTTCTTGTTAAGATATTAATTGGTAATTTCACATAGAAATAAAACAAAAATAGACAACGCTAACATACGAAAATGCAACAATCTTAGAAAGAAATGTGTTCTTGCTTTATAGCGCAATCCTCTGTGAAAACAAAGTTAATCTGAAAGTACTTATTACTTAATATCAAACCCTGGAAAAGTCTACGAAGAGAACAACGTATATAATTTTTCTACAAAAATCTTGTTTGCATGCTGAAATCCCTGGGATCAAACACTCACATAATTCTATTAAATAAACTCATCATAGATACCAGGCTTAATTTTCTTTACGCTGGACGCGCGTTTCGTCTACAAAAGATTCATCAGTAACGTTCAATAAAAAAAGGTAAAAAGACGTTAAAATTTCGATATTTTGCTCACACATTGTTGTCAATATAATGGAACTCTATGCGACTGTCATACATGAGACGTTTAGCTAGCTATAAAACAGGTTTAATGCACCATTTTCTACATAAGGAAATGCCTGTACAAAGTAAGAAATATGACAGTTGTTTTCCATTCCTTTGATGTGTTTGAGCTTTTGATTTTGCCATTTGAAAAGGGTCTTTTCATTTTGAATTTTCTTTGGATTTGTTGTTATTTTACTTTTTCCTATTCACACCAACAAATATGCGGATAAGTTAAGCCCTTTTCAACTGTTTATTATCGTATATTCTTATGTTGAACTGTAACACCACTGTCAAAGGCAGTATGTGGATTACAGTTGTTGTGCACTATATGTAGATTTTATATCACTACAAACCAGTAAAAGTCTGAAATGGCCTATATCTGTACTCGACTGTACTGATTTTTACTCGACCAGTCTGAATTGGTCTGAATTTTACTCGATATTACTCGACCCCATTCTTAACCATACTCGACTGTACTGATTTGTACTTGACCCTTATCTTTGCCATTGAAAATAGTCTGAACTATTACTCGACCAAAAGTCTGAACAATACTCGACCAGTCTGAACCATACTTGACCAAATAACCTCTACTTTTTTAATTTTAACTACTTAAATAACTTTCTTTTAAACTGACATGACAACAGACACAATAAAGTAAAGATATATAAAAACAGATTTTTACATCCTTACATAGTTTATCAAATCCAGATACATGTAGTTAAATTATCTAATTTTAAAGTCTGAGTCTTGTTAAAGAAAAGATTTTCTTTTACCTGAAAACAACACCTATACTGAGGGTATTAAAACCTTATTAAGGTGCTTCTTGTTTGCATGTGATTTTTTCAAACACAACTTAATTTTCCTAAATTCTTAAAATAAAACTACATAGGTTCCATGGTAACATATAATAGTTATATAACTATCTTTTTAACTAAGGTAACAACAGCCAACAAAATCACTGAAATTGTTTAACCTTATATCAGAAATATATCTATTCTTATTATAATTTGGGATATATATATATCAAAAAGGGATAAAAAATTAAAGAAATGAATAAAATTGTTCTTCTGATTAGGGGTAAACTATAAATTAATATCTCCTGCTTGGGGCACACTGATTAAAAAGATTACACCTGGTCAAAAAGTAATGAATTTTAAATAACATCCATTGAAAATTACATCCTGTAAAACTTAAATCACTAGGCCTTTTGATTTCACTAGATAAGTAATACACGAGTTTAAGAAAAATAATGTTTTCTTTTTACCTGTAAAACACACCTGTACTGAGGTAATTAAACCTTATTAAAGTGCTTCTTGTAATCCATGTCTTTAATTTTGACAAAACTTATTTAATCAACCTAAATTTTTACTGCAACTTTGGAACACAATTGAATTCCTTTTTTAAAAGGTTATCAAGGATTGCTATGGAAGTTCTATTATATTAAATTCTTGGTTTTACAAAACAAATGTGTCATCTTTAAAATTTATTAAGTTGTTTTATATACAATTTTTTATATAGTTTACTAAAAAAAAAATGTTCACTACATTATTAACTAAACTCGACTGACACCATAAATCTATACCAGGCTTAAGTTAGTGTTAAAAGTTTTCCAGTAACCATAAAAAATACCTGAAACTTTCAACAAATTTTGAATAACATTTAAGATATTTGAATAATGGTCGAAAGGTATTGTTTTTTTGATGTACAAAATGCAATGTGAACATGATATCATGTATATAAAAATACTAAATTTATTACATTATTACATGATATTTCTTAATCCGACCAGAAATTACTTCCTTTGGTCATCCTGTTTTATTTTTATTCTAAAGGTGATATACATTGTATATATGTATAATATATATATGTATATAAGTGTTGATGAATATGGGGTTGATGATTACATTATGATTATTGTGAAATTTTGGTTTCAATGCTATATTAAATACAAATATACAAATATCTAGCCAAGGGAAATAGCTGTTGTTAAAAACAGTTCCTAAATTGATGAAATACAATAGATAGATACAAAAAAATGGTTTTGGTAAGTTAAGACTTGGTCGAGTACGGTTCAGACTAGGTCGAGTATGGTTCAGACTAGGTCGATCATGGTTTAGACTTGGTCGAGAATGGTTAAGACTACGTCGAGTTTGGTTCAGACATGTATAAAATGGTTAAGTACTGGTCAAGTAAAGGTCGAGTACAAGTTCAGACTGTTAAGAATGGTTCAGGCTACAGTCGAGTAATATCAAGTAAATTTCAGACCGATTCAGACTGGTCGAGTAACAATCAGTACAGATATAGGCCATTTCAGACTTTTACTGGTTTGTAGTGTATAATAGTAGAAATTATATAATAATTTTGAAAAAAAAAAAATCTTTTTTTTTCAGTTCACAAGTAAAAAACTTGAAGGATTATTAAACACTTTTGTACAGTTGATGTGTTTCATTATTTAGATTTGCATTTTTTTTACATTTTTTAAAAAAATGCGGTAAAAAACGAACTTTTTGGTAAAAAAAAATCATACATTTATTGAAACATCTTCTGGTGCCTTTTTGATATAAAGGTATAAAGTATTCTTTGGCAAATTGATTCTCTATAAGAACAAATACCTACCGGACCACCAAAATGTGAAATTCAACGTGATTGGATTTCAATGAAAGATATTCACATAGAACACATATCCTGGATAAATCTGGTCTCAAAATTACTTCGTCGGCATCTGTTTTCAAAATAACCCCCAAAAATGCTAAGATATTCTGAGTGCTCATATTTCAGCGATAATTGATATCTAGGGAGGACATAATATAATAAATTGTTTCTCATGTCAAAAAATATCCATGGACTCCTTTTGTCAATATGTCTGTTAGTCACCTAAAAAAACACGTTTTATAAGCCTGGCATCTTTGATAATTTAAAAAAAAAATGATACAGTAGAACTCAATGGAAATTACATGTATGCACTAAATTTCTTGTTTTGCTTGTAACAAAAAATCCTCAAAGGCGGATAACCCAGGAGCATGTATATCTATGTTTACAGTAGTATTCATTATTTCTTTCGATCCCACATATAAATGTAAAACTAAACTGTAGGACTAAACATCATTCATTCTCATGTTTTATAATAACTATCAACGTTATAAATATTTTATCAACACCACACAATATTGTGGAAAGATGAGTAAACAACTGTTCCCTTGGCTAAGGTTTTATGCACTTTCATAATTATTAGTGCTCGTATATACTCTACTACATTTTGGAATAATCGAGGATGGCAAATATAAATTAAAAAAACTAATTTCTGATCTCTCGAAAATACTCTTTTCTTGATTTGATAAATGTGTATATTAACTTTTGATGCAGGCCATGGTTGTATATTTATAAACGTCTAAAAAGCGTACAACAGCACAAAACATTGAATAGATATTTCAGACAAAAACATTATCCTTAGTCAGTATAAGTTGCCGATGCAAAATGGCATCGTTTGAATAGTGAAAATTATAAATAATAAAAACTATAAACTTGTGCGTAATGTTCACATAAATGCTAATCGTTTTTGGCCTAAAACGAATCTTGTAAATACGTCACTTGCGTTTAGATAATGAATTCAATTAAGGTGTATGAATGTAGCCCAGGATAGCAGTATAAAATAATTAGCTCCGCCCACATAATGAGTGTGTACCTTGTGCAAATAACAATTATTAAAATCGCAATTGAAAACGTAAAGATGAACAATTGATAGAAATATTCAACAATAAAGTATTATCCGATTATATGCATAGATAATGATTATATACATTTGATAAATATTTGTCGAGCTATACATCTACTTTGAAATCGACATCTTTACCATGAAAACTTCAAATGTATGACGGATATTTGATTGCAGATGGATTCAGGTACAGAGTTGTTCTCACTATACAATTTCTGCAGAAGTTTGTGTTTAGTTTTAATTATAAGATTTCGAAATGATTATTGAATAAACATAGTTTTTTTTAAAAGGATCTGTAAAATTTATACTTGAATGCTGTGTTGTTTTTTTTTTAATAAATTAATGCAAGTGACGATCACATTTTTAGCTAGAACCGCTGATGCTTCTCATGCAAAATGTGATAACAATCATTTCGTATAGTACAAAATAAAAAAAAGAGAGGAAAACACACAGCATGCAATTCTATAACTAACGTCAAACAAACTCAGTATCAACAACAGATAAGGGAACATTTAACCACCTAATGAACTAATCTGCAAGATATGTTTCCAAAAAGTCAAAATCTGTATTCACTGGATCATTCTTGAAAAAAAAAAAACAAAATGCATCCGGTTTAGAAACGTAACATGTTTAAATATCTTGCTTTAAACTTGAAATATGGAGTCAGATTCATGTGATCCATACAATGATATCATCATTCTGACCGTCCTTCTGGTTCTGAAGTATCAGTTTTTCCTGTCTTTAATTTAGGTTTCATGAATCTCATAATTGACATCAAATCTATGATAACGACACCAAATATAACAGAAAAAATGAATACTATTCCAAGAATGCCAATGGACTGTGAAGACTTTCTCTCATCTTTTGCACTTATCCTTTTATTAATTGTTGCCGACAAGTTTGATTTGTCAACAGATAATTCTTTTTCCGTTTTTGCCAGTTGAGGAGCTAACATTTCGAGTAGTTCATCTATTGTATAGTTGGATAAGTCTCGCCTTGCCCAAATTCCAAGAGAACTGCACGGACATTGGCATGAAATCGCCTCTGCAAAATATGATTTTAAAATTTTAAAAAGGCAAACTAGGCTATTTATACTGTCCACGTTATGTTTAGCTTTTGTCCACGTGGATAATAGAATTATCCATATGTTGAAAGGACGCGAACCTCACCGTTGCAATAGCGCATGTTGTTCATACTCTGTTCTAACAAACGCCACATTTCTAACAAGAAATCTACATTGTAAAAGAGTTAAAATCTGTTTCTCTTAAGAATGAAAAATAAATAAACGATTTCTAGAGTTTTCATTTAGGCTACTCAAAACTTGTGTTCCAGATAAATTTCTAAGTGTTGTATGAATTGTCTTTTATTATTTAGACTTCAATATACTTATCATTTCCATTCAAAAAAACACTAAATACGATGTTTTGGTTGCAATCTGCTATTATATTTAACAGCGAATATATGTATTGGAACATATCACATGCTGAATTTATACATACCAGAGACTTCTAATCATAACAATTATGATAATGAACATTCCTGTCAATTCAATATACGATCATTGTTGGAAATCCTAGATATTTTTGGACCTATCGTTTTAATCATGCAATTCAATATTAAAACTTAGGCGTTTTCTCTTGAATAATTGATTGTAAATAAGCTAATCATAGATACCAGGATCAAAATCTTGTATGCAAGATACGCGTAAATTTTATAACTTTAAAGTGATACTAACGCAAGTACTTTGGACGAAGCATGAGCGCCTCTAGATGAAAAACATATTACTTCACTTTCTTTCCTATTATTTGAAACTTGAATATTTACATTCCCCTCTAATTTTTACCGTAAACAAATTGAAGCATATGCCAAATGCTATTTAACGATAAACGTACTGAAAAGAAAAACAAAGATTACAATAATAATTTACCAGGTTTTGTGGTCGTTGTTGGTGTAGTAAGCGTCGTTGATACAAATGGTTTTCCAGGATTTTGGGTTTTAGTGGATGTCGTCGTTGATGTAGATGTAGTTCCAGGATTTTGGTTTGTAGTGGACGTCGTTGAAGGAGATGTAGTTCCAGAATTCTGGGTTGTAGTGGACGTTGTCGTTGATGTAGATGTAGTTCTAGGATTTTGGGTTGTAGTGGACGTCGTTGAAGGAGATTTAGTTCCCGGATTTTGGGTTGTAGTGGACGTAGTTGAAGGAGATGTAATTCCAGGATTTTGGGTTGTAATGGACGTCGCTGAAGGAGAGGTAGTTCCAGGATTTTGAGTTCTAGTGGGCGTCGTTGAAGTTGGATCTGTAGTTAGAGGAATGAAAGTAAAAAAAAAATATATTTTCAACTAAATGGTAAAAAGAAAATAAAAGAAAAACGACATTCCACATTCCACATTACGTTAGACAAAAAACTAAAGATCGAGAAATATAAATTTGAACAAACCAAGAAGTTCCTGCTCAACTAATGGCACTCGTCGTCATTAAGTTAGCGTGCGATAGTTTTGTGACTAACGGTAGACGGACAACAATTTACCACTAAATGCCAGTTGATAACGGAAGTATTCATATAGATTACCTTTAAGATGTTTATGAATAAAAAATGTCCGAATAATGCAAAATATGAAAAAGACCCTCTATGCTTTTGTAATTGCATTTTGTTATTGTAAGAGCGTATTATGGAAACTTGACAACTTGATTGAATAGCAAACGATCACATGACTTGATAACAAATCATGATATATTATCATACCAAGACTACACTTAAAAATTGCTTGTTTTGTCATTGCAACATGAATCATGCACATTCGAATGCGTAAATATTTCCTTAAAACAATAACATTTAGAAATATGTCATTAACATCGATTTTCAGATGATTCATTTTTGAATTTGATACATTTTTTCGCATTTTACGGTAATGTCAAGAGAAGTACTAGGGTCTGGAAGAAGAAGTGGGGGGGGGGGGGGGGGCATTTTTTTGGCCTATTTTTCTCTATTCTTTATATTTTTGCTCTTTATTCTCTATTCTGTAAACCCCATCCAGATCTTCAAGTATAAGCACTAATTACCACTAGTAACTGTAAGTGCGACTTCCTGACTTGTTCTAATCTCGTAACTATTCCCTGCTTCACAAAAGTAAATCCCATCATCTTCAATTGTCACATTAAATATTGTAAGAGATGGTACTGACAACGTTGCCCCATTATATTTCAATATGTTCGTCACATCAATTTGATGTGCCTCGGTCTCTTTTTGCATACTCCAAGTTACATTGGTAATGTCTGGCCTTCCAGTAACATTACATTCCAATTCAACATCATTGCCGTAAACAATTGTGTAAAGAGTAGATGAAACAGTCAGTGAAACTGAAATAAAACATAAAAAAATAATCTCTGTACCAATCTGAGGAACAAGTGCCTACAGTGTAATGTCTGATTATCCAGTTAAAGAACGGCAATTTCAAATCATTTTCGTTAGCAATTCTTTAATGAGAAGACGAAGCAGTCAGCGAAGCTAAAATAATAGATTTTCCTAATAAAATAAAGACTCACGCTCACACACTCACTATGCTTTTGACAAACAGAAATACTCACTTCCATACACTTGTATATAAACTACAGTACTTGACGATTTTCCAAAGATGTTTTCAGCTGTACATATATACTGGCCTGTGTCCGTAAAATCTGTCGATAAGATATCTAGTGAAGGAGAAGTAAATGAAAATACAAAATGTTTTCCTAAGTTGTTTTCATCAGATGAAAAAAAATTTGTTCCAGTCTCTGTTGTAATAATCCATTCTACGGCAGTAATATCAGGAAAGGCTTTTACTCTACATTCTATGGTATGTTGTGTCTGGTAAAGTACTTCAATCGGGTCTGTTATCACCTCTACAATAGGCTTATCTGTAATGATAACACAAAAATAAAACAAGATACTCTAAAAATTTTACCGTTAAATATAGACATGACTGTTTTAAGGATTTAAGGACACATGCAATTTATAACGTGTTGTTTTCATTTTTTACAGCACTGGGTCGATACCTCTGCTGGTGGACTATCAGTCCCCGAGGGTATCATCAGCTCAGTAGTAGTCAGTACTTACATCATTTATTACAAACCGTTCTAAAATTAAAATTATCCGTTCATAATTTTTAAAATTAAAAGAAAGTAAGGTTTCAACTCCCTCAGGCAAAGTTGACCTTATATGGATTTGGCTTTTTTTAAACAAAATGATCTTGATCAAGGTAATTTTATTGTCGTATTTCTATTCTATAAAGTATATCTTATAAGACGATATGTATAAGTCTTTTTTTTAATTATCATGTGTACGTAAACCGGATTAACACAAAGTTATTATTATTGTACAAAACATTGTATAATGTCTTTTGGCATCGTCATTTTCATTTCAAATCCACCAAATTCAAAATGGAGAAAAAGACCTTTTTCGGTGCTTATGCACATTGTTATGAAATAACCTTTTATACTGTAACTGTACTTTCTGGTTAGACAAATATGCACTGATCGTATTAGAATTGACCCAATACTGTCTCTGACCGTATTTATGACGTTAAAATGTGTTTATCTATGAAGTCATGAGATAATGCATGTTCCTGGAATTTTAGAAAAGTAAAAGTGATTTTTCAGACGTATTATTGATGAAAACTGATTAAACTAATTTGGTCTTTCAATTGTGATGATACGATCTGGCGATACTGAGGAGACTAATGTAGACGAAACGCGTGTTTTGCTAACCAAATCACCAAGCTTTGTATCTTTGATGAGTTTTAACAAATATAATTTAGATTTAAAATCTGAAGAACGATTCTCTATTTGATTGATTGATTGTTGGTGGCGGTGGTCCCTCGGGAAACATCCGCTCAGTTGTACACTTCGGTAGTGTTTGTTTTGTGATCATGATAAAGTTGCAACATTCTCAGTTAAAGTTTCGAAAAGATCATTTTAACTGTTCTGTTAATCCGTTTAAGCCAATAACATAAACGGTACCAATTTTGCTGCACCAGATGTGCATTTCTCGACAATCAATGTCTCTTTAGTGATGCTCGAGGCCAAAACATTTGAAAATCCAAAGATGAGAGCTATTAATCAAAAAGGACTAATTATCAGACTGCTCATTTGTCTGACACTATCTTGTCCAATAAACCATTAATCCGATAACCCATTAGTCCGACAAAACATTTGTTAGAGAGCCGAATTGTCAAAAAAAAACAAAACAAAAAAACATCTAACTATATATTTAAAATCAGAAGTTGAAAAGGCATGTTAAAATTTTTATTACATATATAAAAATAAGGAGATGAGGTATGATTGTCAAGAGACAACTATCTACCAAAGTTCAAATAAAGTGAATGTAATCAATTATAGGCAACCGTTCGGCCTTCAAAAATGAGAAAAACCCAGTCAGTGATATTGAGAATTTAAGACTTAACATTTTACACCTTACAAGGTAGACTTACTAAAATCGAAATATAGTTCTGTTATTTACTCAGAATACAGGGAGATTTATGATACATGTAAATGAGACAATAATCTAACAACAAAAAAACCCACAAAGTATATATGGGGGTCAAATAGTCTGCATCAACAGACAGGCCAAGCTCTAAATCGACCGAGGTCTATAAAAGTTGTCAATAAATTTATCAGAAATTATAAAAGATTTTCCCTCAACACCAAATTCACTATCATCTTTTATAAACTTATAAACAATTTGTATTTCTATCCAAATGATACCTAAAGCAACAATCTGGTAACCTCATTTATAATTGGACAACATAGAAAAAAATTGAAACGATAAATGAGCTAAAACCTCCGTACAAAAGCAACTGTTATAAAGTGCAAAATGTCAAATATGTTTTACTCTTACTAATTTCAGGTTATACTTAGTTCATAAAAACCCAATGAAACATCACTCGATTGAAATTTTCCAAAATACTTGCAGTTATTTAGATGACATATTTTCTCACAATTATTTAATTTTTTTCTAAATATGCCAGTGAAATGTACCCTACTTATTATTTCAAAGATAGTTCGATATGCTTATGGTATCAGAGTTGATCTGTTTAAAATTCAATCTCAATCTGTAATTTAAAAAACAATGACTCATACTCAAGTAAAATGGAAAATGTCTTTTTTATCAGGACATTACCAAGGGACATAACTCGCAATAGACAAGTCATGTTAGAGGTTCATTACATTTATCTCACTGAAATCAGGGTATTGTAAGTGCAGATACCTTAGTTTTGTTACTCCCTGCATTATAAAGGGTGTTACCTCTGGAACGACAAATGTTAAACGTTCGAAAGAGGAATAGATAGATTTTTGTAGTATAAAGCCCTTACAACTTTTCCAAATTATAAAGGTAACCTTCCAGATTAATTCAAATTATTGTACAGAAATATAGTAGCAGCGCACCAACGGATGAACGGACGAGCAAGAGTACTATAGTGATCAAACAAATTAAAAAACTTACTTGTCAAATGTTTCAAAATTTCCTTGACGTTATAAACCTCTATTTGACAACGGGGATCGTACAAATTCCTTGTTTTGTCGGAGAAATGCGTTGTCGGAAAAATATTTTTTTATTCGAATTATCAATACACCGTACTAAAGCAGTCAGACTAATGGGTTGCCATATTAGGTGTCAATCGCACTATTTTGAGTGTCTGAATGTGTGGTCGGACTAATGAGACGATCTATTTATTTATTAATTTAGCTTGCTTTCCAAGATTTCGGGGTCAACCATTTTCCTAATGGAAGTTATTCATTCATTAGTGTGTCATTTAATATAAAGATTATGTGTTTTGTATATATCATGCACTGTACATCTGTTTTGATGTTATTGATCTTCATCATTTGCTTATTGTCCATCGAATTATAATTTTTACCCCCCCTCCTCCCCCCACCTGTTTATCATAAAGATATTATTATAGAAATATGCTTACAGCCGACTAAGATGTTGTTTCTACACACTGGCGACATTGCTAAAGGTAAACTGTTGTCTACGCAGCATTGATAATACCCTGAATTACAAGTCTTTGCATTATTAATCATCACAACTGGATCTAGTATGGATCCGATCAGTTAATCATTTATTAGTGTGTCATTTAATTCACCTTTGGATGTACAATAAAGATAATGTGTTTTGTATATATCATACACTGTACATCTGGCTTGATGTTTTTGATTTGCATCATGTGCATCCCCTCTTTTCATCACACAGCTGATTAAGTATTTTCTACATGTACAATAAAGATGGCATACTTACAACCAACTGAAATGTTGTTTCCACACACTGTCGAAATTGTTAAACCTAAACTGTAAGTAACGCAGCATTGATAATTCCCTGAATCACAAGTCTTTGCATTATAAATCTTCAGATCTGGATTAAAGATGAGTCCGATTATTTCATCTGCCAATCCACACTCTGAGTCGGTTGTCCATTGGACATCAGTAATAAAATTATACGCTATGTATGGACAGGGAAGTTGTATGTTACCTCCAACTTCAAACTCATATTGACTTATCGATTCTTCAGGAGCAGCTTAAAATATACAAAGAGAAATACATATGCTTACCTTAATAAAATTGAGAATGGAAATGTATATTTGTATATTTGTAACAGAGTTTTCGAAAAATGGTGGTCCGAAGGTTATACCACCAACAGTTTGCAAAGGACCGACACAATTTTGATATTTTTCAATTTCGAAGACCTTCAAGGAAAAACAAATTTCGATACATTTATGACGTGAATGGGAGAAACATAGTTTCAACAATTAAAATAGGGAGGGGAGACAACTTAGAAAACTATTTTGGTGTCCCCAATATTTTTGGTCTTTGCTTTAAGATTTTACACCAAAAAAAAAATCCCTGGCTTTAATTCGAATATTTTAAGCGTTATCAGAAAATAGCCCCTTTACCTTTCTGTTCGACCGCCTATGCATTACTAAAAGGAAATTACAACCTTGATTTTCATTGAATGCATATAATTTTTTTACACATTTAGTCTCGAATAACATATTGTGATTTTTACAGACAATATAACTTTCTCACGGTCATCAATCCTTTTCAGAACACACTATCTCTCTTATACAGATGCAAAACGTATATACATGGCCTTCCAAATACTGTTTCGATTCCGAACATCACTGAAGAGACATTAATTGTCGAAATCCGGATATGGTGTACAAAAATCTTTGCACCTTTGTTTGCGGTATACCATCTTTGCCGCAAGTTTATTGTTTTCTGTTTGGTATTAAATTTTTAATTAAGATCCATTTATTACACCTTGTGATCCGTTTATTTGGCAATCGCCAATGGCAGTCAGCAGGGTTTAAGAACATTTG